GTTGTTATAATGCAATAACCTTCATAGATCTTTAAGTGTGACCACTATGACACCATTAAGGGGATAATTAATCATGACCGGTATGATGTTTACTTTTTGTTAAGATGTTACAAAAACCCCTCTGATTGATATATAAACTTTAGTCTGGACTGACAGTGTCAAGGTCAGAGATTAGGAGTGTAAGTGTATGGGTCAAGAAAAGGGCAGTGGGTAAGAGCAGTTTGTCACTACCGCTGAGAGTAGGGTTGAGGTACTAGTGGCACAGTCAGCTAGTGGAAGTGAGAATTCTCTCCTTCTCACAAATTGAGTTCTTCTCCAACAGATCATCTGCGTTAGCCTGGAAACCTAATCTGCAAAGGCACTGAGAGCAGGAGCACGCACGCAAGCACGCACGCACACACACACACACACACACACACACACACGCACACACACACACACACACACACACACACACACACACGGACATTAAAGTAAGTCTGCCTGAAAAACATTACTTTTGCACATACAGTAGGATACTTTTGTGATTTCAATGAACATCTATTACTTGCCTCAAGACTGCTTCAAGACACTTATACACAACACACACACACATGTTGGGTTTTCATGTTTTATGGGGACAGTCCATAGACATAATAATTTGTATACTGTACAAACTGTATATTCTGTGTTGCCTAACCCTACCCCTAAACCTACCCATCACAGAAAACATCACTTGGTATGATTTATAAGCTGTTTTCCTCCTGTTCCCCACAAGGACGCTCAGTCCCACAATAAGTAAGACTTGAGTTTCAATAAGAGTTTCGTGAGGTGTAACGTCACCCTCTGACTGTACACTGGTATAGTGCATGGAAATGAGCTATGTGTCAAATTTATTTGATTTTATTTGTTCTGGGTCGTTTAATATAAATATTAATTTAATACAAAAGCAAAATAAAATAAGTAAATACTTAGACATTTAAAATAAATGAATGAAAATACATTAAAAAAATTAATAAAAATTTGATTAAATTTAAAGTTATATATTAAATATTTTACAATGCTGTTATACGTTCATACCACTGATGGGATGGTATAAAATGTATTTTAAAAGAAGTCTCTAATGCGCACCAAGGCTGCATTTATTTGATTGAATATAAACAGCAATACTGTGAAATATTATTACAAATATATATATTTTAATATATTTGTTTTTAAAATGTCATTTAATATGTTAATTTATATGTTAATATAAAATGTCATTTATTCCTGTGATGGCAAAGCAGAATTTTCAGCATCATTACTCCAGTCTTCAGTGTCACATGATCCTTAAGAAATCATTCCAATATGCTGATTTGGTGCTGAAGAAACCTTTCTTATAATTAATATCAATGTTGATTATATTGTAATATTTTTTGTGGAAACAGTGATGCATTCCAGGATTCTTTGATCAATAAAAAAAGTTAAAAAAAAGAACAGCATTTATTTTTTGATAGAAATCTTTTGTAACATTATGTCTTTGTACTGTCATTTTCGAACAATAGAATGCATCCCTGCTGAATAAAAGTATCAATTTCAATCAATCAATCAATCAATCAACCAATCAACCAATCAATCAATCAATCATGTCCAAATATATATACATATATATATATATATATATAAAATATCATCAAATTTACTTTTAGTTGCTTATGTAAACATGTATAATGTATCAAAGTCTTGTTTTGCTGTACACTACTCATGGTTTCAGTAGTCACAGATTTCCATAATAACAATAATTGTTTCTTACAATAACAGGGCTACACAATGTCATGATCCTGGCCTGTGTTGCCCTGTCTTATGTTCAAGTCAAAAGTCAAGTCAAGTCAAAGTCAATTCACCTTTATTTATATAGTGCTTTTTACAATACAGATTGTTTCAAAGCAGCTTTACAGTGATAACAGGAAATTAATGCAACAGAGAATAATTATAATTTAAGTATAATTATGTTCCTTTTGTTCCTATGTTCAGTTTCTATGTTAGGTTCTGTAGTCCTTTTGTTGATTGGTTTCCTGTTCATTAGTCTTCATTGTTCCTTGGGGTGTCATATTGTTTGCACTTGTGTATTTAAACCTCTGTGATTCCTGTGTGCGTTGTCAGGTCCTGTCCTTCATGGTTGTTTGTTGGCATGCTTTATTATTGTTCATACTGTAGATGTTCATAGATGTTCTGCTCCTTGTGTTTTTGGTTATTTTGTTAATAAATGCTATGCTGAATGCAATTGGATCATACTCCTGCATTTTTAAAGCTCATCGTTGTAGAAAATGTGACCAATGACAATAGAAAACACTGGGGTTAAAAACACAAGATTATAAGGCACTGACAAGGGACAGGTGAAGGTGATTTATTTTCATGGAAACTAACAATAGTGACTATGGGAACAAATGTGGTACAGTAACAAGGAACACTGGAACAAAGGGGACAGAAAACACTTTAACTTAAAAGTCCTTTATAAAAAAGGGAAACCCGGGCAAACTTGCTGATTTGGTGAATGGGTTTATGGGTTAATTAATTTTTACAGATGGTTCAAAAGACCGAAAATCAGTAAACACAGGCTCTGCAGTAGTAATTTTCAGCCAGGGATATGCAAGTAGACTGCAAATAATTTGAGTGTATACACTGTTGAATTGTATGCCGTCCTGATAGCTTTAGAATAGGTTGAACAGAGAAAACTAGACAAAGTTCTTATTTGTAGTGATTCAGTCTCTGCTTTGTGTAGTCTGACCAGAAATGATCATCAATCAGTTATTTTATGAAATAATGAGTAGGCTATCCATTCAAAAACTAACCAGAATGGTACTAAAGTTGTATTAATTTGGATCCCTGCACATAAACGAATAATGGGAAATGAAAGAGTTGACAAATTAGCCAAACAAGCTATGAAAAAAGAAATTATAGACACGGACATCAGGCCTTCAGGACCAGAAGGTAAGAATATTGTTTGGGAAAAAGTTATCAAAGAAGGGCAGAATACATCTGTATTTGATTAAAAAAAGAGTTGGTGCAGTGGAAAGCAAAAGGGGAAACAGAAGAGAGGAAACAACCATGAACAGATTAAGAATAGGACACAGTAAATTAAATAACACACTCCGTATTACGGGGAAACATCCAACTGGATTCTGTGAGATTGTCAAACCCCAGAAACAGTAGAGCATGTGATTGTTAATTGCAGAAAATATGAAACAGAGAGAGAGGACATGATTAAAAATACGGAAAGTATATGACTAAAGGACATACTGGAATGTAGTGGAAGAAAACAATGAAGGGAATATCTGTTCTGCTTTCTAATAATTACAAGACTAATGACGAGGACTTTACATATTGCTGTGTGTAGGAGTTAGTTAACTCCAGAAGATGGCAGTAGTGCAACAAAGGATGCAAGCTATGGTTAAAACTAATTGAAGAAGATGGTGAAGAAGAATAAGATGATGATGATGAAGAAGAAGAAGGGGATCGTGACACACCGCTTACCCACTGGCACATCTTATCACATTCTGTTTTTATAGGCCATTTCTGGAGTACTATAATTCATGATCACAATATGCATATTCTAATGAACTAATGCAGACAATTCACGATTACTCATGTAGACATCTGCTTTTATTCATATTTACTTCTTTTGAAAAGCAAAGAGCTCTTGATATGAGTTACACTACAGTCACATTTCAGACACAATATTACCACTCATTTAAAATCTCTCGGTAGAAAAAAAACATTGTCTGGTTCAAGCACAATAATAAGCTACATTTACAACATTCACTTCATAAATAAAGAAATAATACATAAAGGCGCACAGCACACACACATATACACATACATACGCCCTCCTGGTGGCTTCCTGTTTAATGAAGACTCATTCTCAGATTAAACTGAATATTGTAGTCCCTGACAAACATATTAAGGCCTCTTTCAAGTCTGGTATTGCCCCTGGAGGAAAACATTGAGTCCGCAAATGCCTAAAGAGGGAATAATTCTTCTGGATATGAATTTCCATGGACCCTTTTCACATTTCCGGGGTTCTCAGAAGCGAAAGGCATCATAGTTGGGTAAACTTCTATAGTGGTGAACGTAAAATACAATATATTTTTTTACGTTCCCATTTGCTCCAATAGCAAAAGAAAAATCCATGATAGCATTTCTATGACTTTCCAAAAGATTAGAAATGTTGCCATTACTCCCTCGATTGTTGTATTAGAAACACCCTCGCAACAGCATTAACCAGTTTTCTGTAATTCAATGCCAAGGTAATATAACACAAAGTATAGTGTTATACATGTACGTTAATTAAAAAAATTATGAAAATATAAAAAATGTATGATGTTCATTCATAACTGTGTGAAATGTCTCATCACCGTCAATGAAATGGGTCCAAGGTTTTTCTTTCTTCCGGCCACCAGGGGGCAGTCATACAATCTTCTCTGTAATGGTGAGGGTTTTTGGAAAGGGCACAGTCATGCATTAGTGTAAAACTAAGCTCTTCCAATGTGCATATTCTGTTGAAAATAAGCAAATCAAGCAAAACAGAGACATAGCTTGAAGAAACATATTTGCTCGAATTAGTAAACAATCCATTGAACAATCCAAGCATCATTTACACTGTTGACCTACATGGTTCCTCAGCAAGATGACCTCTTGTTTAAATTAGTAAAAATTAGTATGAAATTAAGTAAAACATTGATCTCATGTTAATAAATTAAATTAAGGATGGGGATTGTTTGAGTCGTGGTGACTGCTTGTAGACCCAGACGGCTCGTTACACAGTGCATAGAGTCCTAAAGTATCAGTCTGGAGACTGACACGTACACACACAAATACACAAATACGCACGCACGCACGCACGCACGCACGCACACACACACACACACACGCACGCGCACACACACACACACACACGCACACACACACACACACACACACACACACACACACACGCAGTCCTGCTCATTCAAGAGAGGTAGTAGTTCATGTTTCTCTGTCTGTCTTTGTCCGTTTCAGTTTGTTAAATCCATCTCCAGAGCAGCACAGCCTCTTTCAAGGGGAGTGATGGATGGAGGAGCCCTTATGGTGAAGCTCAATCTGAGCTTGGAATAAAACTCATCCCAGGCTTCACTCCACTTCACAAGCCACGACCATAATTTAATTCCAGTGTGTCTTTGGCCTTGGTTAATAGGCCTGGGATAGAGTCCCATAGTCCTCCAAGCATGTAGACCTTGACCAATATGTATTTCAACAGCAGCAAACGGGTTTATTTTATCCAAGGCTTGTCCGTTTCATAATCACATGCGTGAAGAGGTCGCCGATTCATAGAATAGCACATATGCATCGCTGCTGCGCACCTGGCTGGATGACATGGGGCTCACCCTGAAATAGAAATGATTTATTTTAAACGTTTTTTAAATTTTAATAATAATATTTCACAATATTACTTTTTTCATTGTATTTTTTAAATCAAATATATATATGTTAATAACAAAATTATGTTACACAAAAATACAAATATAATATAATATCTAAAGACTATCTAAAGTGACTTAAATGGCCAAATACTTTTTGTAGCCACTGCACATACTAATTACATTATAGCCTAGAATGTTGTTAAATACAGATCTATGTTAGGTAAATAAATAAGATTAAAACAGTAATGCACATGCTGAGTTGGGTCATTCCTACAATTTGGTGGATTATGGACTGAGCAGGTTTGTTGAAAACATTTTTACAATTCAATTATTCTTAAGTCTTGTCAGAGGGAGAAAATGTCTGTCTGTCATAAATACACACTGGTCAAGCTCAGGCTAATATAACATAATAATCCTGACCAAATATTTCAAATTTCACATTAACATTCTATGGCATTTGTCAATCCTGTTACAGGACATGTTTACAATGCAATGTGTAACAGGGTGGACGTTTTAAGCTAATAAAGTCTTTTACTAGCTAGTAAAGAACAACATGCTAGCAAAGGAAGAATTTAGGAATCTATTTAAAAAAATAAACATTTTCATGTCCAGTATAAATTGACACAACAGGATGGACATGTTATGTTTTACGCTTATATGTCACCTAAAATTGAGGAAAAGAGAGAAAAGTTTAAGACTGATTCTTACTTTGTTCTTAGACTTGTTTCCCTTCCAAAATATTATGTTACTTCTAGCAAGACAATATTTAGGGCATACTCTTAAGATTTTAAAGGGCAAATAGCAGCAATGTAACAGAGTGGACTGGAGTTTAAGGGACATAAACTAATTTCATGGTTTTACACATTGAATGAATGGGAATAGGAGCAGGCTTCACTCAATCATTAAACTTAAACTTTAAGAATGCTGGCCTGATGATTAGAATATATAAACAGGAAAGAGGCCGCACTATGCATAAATTGTTTTATTTGCACAAACGCATTTCGGCGCGTGCCTTCTTCAGTGTGCAACAAGATCACAATGTAACCAATCTTATATACCCACACCCATTAACACACCCATATTAACATCAACCAATAATTTTAAAATGATGCAGTCCAATGATGTCACCAATGTTTCAATCAGTCCATGTAATACTAGTATGTGTATTCTATGTTGATTCTAAATATGTATATCAGTCTTTGTCTTTCATTAATGGACTGACTGAACCATTGGTGACATCATTGGACTGTGCATCATTTTATAATTATTGGTTGATGTTAATATGGGTGTGGGTATATAAGATTGGTTACATTGTGATCTTGTTGCACACTGAAGAAGGCACGCGCCGTAACGCGTTTGTGCAAATAAAACAATTTATGCATAGTGCGGCCTCTTTCCTGTTTATATGGTTTTACACATTAAAATATGTATCACAATAAATTTTATTTTATGTCAGAAAGAATAAGTAAATATATTTCGAAATTTTGTAATTTGGAAATATATATGTAAACTTTTTCCAAAGTGAAGTGAAAGCGTGAATCGGGATATGGGAATTTGTCTGACAAGAGCTGCAAAACAATATTCTTAGGTACTAATCATTATGAAATTGAGTTAATTGGGGTATGTCTATGCATGGAAAACCATGCAGCAGTAAAGTTAAATAACATTTTATGTATAATATGCAGTATTGTTTCATAGGGACATAAAATCCAGCAAACTGTAGGAATAACTCTGTTATAATCTTACTGCACAAACCTCTTTTTTTTTTAGACATTTTGTCATGTCTAATTACCTGGAGTCATTGTACGTGTACCATTCTCCTGTACAGGGACTGCGGCAATATGCTGTATAATGGCCACCCAAAGATGTACCAGTGTGATTGGACACAGCATACAGATTATAGACTGCATTTACTGTGAGTAGAGAGCAGGAAAGATAGAAGAGAAGAGAAACAACAACAATTAAACACAATTATCCTGGAGCTACAGTAAAAACTGTATTGCTCAAACAACTGTACAGAATACAGGTGTCATAAATGATGATGATGCAGAACTCACCACTGTTATCAGAGGCAAATTCCCTGAGGTCCAGCTCTTTGAGGGGGAAGTTTACAAAGGTGGAGAGTTTGCTGGTTCTCACGCGACACTCAGAGAAACGCTTCAGATCTGAGATAGTTATGAGTCAAGGGCAAACAAATACATGCCACTTTTTATCCAATCCATAACTTAATGATGTTAATTTATACATATTTACATATTTATATTCAATTCATCAATACATGTAAGTAATAAAGAATGCAATTCTTTGTATTGTGGTTTTGTTTAAAAAGGATACGAAGCACCAAGATTTTAGGAAATTTCTGAATGGTAAATTTTTTAGTGCATTTCCTTCTGGATTTACATCTGTGGCATGTCTGCATGAAAAAAGAGAGGTTAGGATATGTCTAAATATTATATATATATATATACACACAACATTACTTAACTAACTACATTAATTAACATGAAATAACAATACGCTGATTTCACGCAGCCACCATGAAATCGAAAGCGAGGGTTCGGTGGGAAGAACCCCGGAAGTACAGATAGACAGCAATGCCTTGGACTACCAACCTGAAGCTGCTGCCGCGATTTACACTATTGGATGTTAATATCCAATATAGGATATGTATATAGTTCGTTCCTGCTTCTTTTTTTTACGTTCTGAATTATATATATAAAAAAAAATCTTATTTATAAATGAATTTCACTGTATATAGTCTAATGTATGAAAGAAATGTATGTACATTTTTAGAATAACTAATTTCTACATTAAACACAACAATACGCCATCGCATTCGCGACTCTCCTATAATTAAAGGCGACACTTCCGGTTTTCTTCCCACCGGAGCCATTTCAAAATGGCGGCTGCATGAAATCAGCGTATAAAAATACTTTAAAAACATTTCTTAATCTCAGTTAACGTTAATTTCAACTTTTACAAATACATTATTACAATTAAAAGTGATCTTTCTGTATTACTTAATGGACCAATTGACAACAACAATTTGTATTTTTATTAACTAATGTTAAAGAAAGATTAAGAAATACTGTAACAAATGTGTTGGTCATTGTTAGTTAATGCATTAACTGGGAGACCTTATTGTGAAGTGTTACAATATACTGTATATATATTTAAGAACATATATATATATAACCTTTTTAAACCATTAAAAAAAGTTAAAAGTAAAATAAATAAGAAATTATTTATATCTTGCACTTGCTGTAACTCATCAAATAAGTAGATGTATGACACTGATCACTTAAACTCCTTACTACAGACAGTCAAATGTTCTTAAATTAGTAAAATGTATACTTACTGGTCTCTCATTTCCATCTAGCACATCCTCCTTGGTGAAAAGTCGAAGACAATCGATCAAACTCACTTCTCCTGAAGTCTAAGGAAACGAAAAAATAAAAACAACAACAAAATGAAACAGACACGTTTACACAAACATGCTGCCATGTCAATAAGCGTGTATTTGAGTGCGACAGTCTTTATATTAACCTTAGTGATAGGCAAGGACAGATCCCAGAACGGATCAAACACAGTTGAGCAGAAGCCACACTCGCTGCACGTCAATGAGCTTTTCAGCTGACCAACAAACAGATCTGTGAAGAAATAAAACACTTTATAACCAGAGCAGGGAACACACACACACACACACACACACACACACACACACACACACACACACACACACACACACACACACACACACACACACACACACACACACACAGCAAGACTGTAGCTGTTGTTAATATAGCAGGTCAACTCACCGACTACTTTGCTGTCCTCACTCTCCAGGTACTTGTTCCACATTCTCTTGCCTTTCTCGTCATCCCTATTGATAAAACACATTTAATTTAAGACTCCAGACAGACTTCGCACTATTACTGTCAGATTGCAACAGTTAAACCACACACCACAGGTGATTCATCTGTTAGATCAATCACCACATCATATTACATCATATTTCAGCACAAAACCGAAACAAAGCAGTATTAATATGTTCCCAGAGGCCAATCCTGTCTAAATCTGTTTAGAAATACATTATTAGCTTTCCTGAGGCCATGGCTAAAATTTCAGTGCAGAGATTATTCTTTCGGGGACTCTAAACCAAAACCTAATGAGCTCCCTCGACTCCCATACAGAAACATTCTACGCAAGCATCAACTTCATGCTCCACACAAATAGCGCTCTGCGCAGTTTCTTTTAAAATACAGGAAAACAGTGAAATATGAGAGATATTATTACAATTTAAAATTGTTTTTTATTAAGAAAATTTGATGCTCAAGAAACATTTCTTATTAATATCAACGATGAACAGTTGTGCTGCTTAATATTTTTTGTAGAAACCATGATACATTTGTCCTGGATTTTCTGATGAATAGAAAGTTCAAATGAAAGGCATTTCTTTCAAATATGCACTTTTTTCGCCGAGCTTACATGGCGCAATGCATTCTGGGATCGCCTTCACGGTGAACGATACACGTGATGCTGCCTTAGAATTTGTCTAAAATTAGGTCTTATAAGTTGGCTTATAAATAATTCTTATAAAGGTCTTATAAATAAATTTGAAACATCTTAGCTTTAAACCATTGCTAATTTTGAAACCAGAAACATTGCTATTTTTGAAACAACAAACATGATGGGAGGGTTTTTAGAACCTGCTTGGTGTATCTACGTACGAGAGGTGATCAAAGTCCTCCATGCTGGTTCTGGGTTTCACTATCACTCTGTTTACTTCGTTATGGAGCCCATCCAGGAGAAACCGCAAGAACTCCTGAGCATCCTGCTGACTACACGACAGAAAACAGAAGGGAAAGAAAGTATATTTTTAAGGGCGAGTTTCAGCTAATTCAAAACTACATATTGAAGAAAACAAGTAAAATATGATGTTAGCATAATACAAAATGTTTTACTGTAGCTGTAACTTACTTGTAACCAACGAATCGAGGGGCATATTTCTGGATCTGCATTTTGAAGTCAGAAGGGCTGATGGCCTCACTGCTAGCAGATGTCCAAAGAGTCTGAGTGAGCTTGGCAAACTCTGAAAACAGAAACATACACATACTGTAGGCAGACATTTGACTAAGACACAGGACTCAAGGCTGCCTTGTGTGCATGATAAAAATGAATGCTCTACTATATGAACTGGTAAATGCGTCTCTTACCCTCCATTAGCGCAGCTTTGGCCCTGCAGTTGTTGTTGAGGTCAGTGCGGTGTGAGTTACGCAGACAGTAGTCCCTCAGGTCATGAGTGTTGCTTAGACATTGCAGTATGGAGTTCATGAAACACTGCAGAGACACATTCAACAAAAGGCGACTTAAATGGTTACTCCGTAAACATAGTCTGCATTCCACATATTTAAAGTCATAACAAAACAGAAGTAGCATCATATCTTTTTTTGTTTATTTCTGACATACATCCACGTGTAACGGATTTTTAAAAAAGATCCAAAATTACGAAGTCATTTTTTAAAATGAAACATATACATGTATGAACTGCATTTGCAAAATAGATCGTGTGTACGTCGACTTTAAAGGAACAGTGCACACAAAAACATAGACATATTCAGTTCTTCAAAACATCTTTTTAAGTCTTTTGAGTTTGCATTGGCATAAAGGCGAGTAAATATTGACAGAATCTTTTTTTTTTTGCATGAACTATAAATGGAACCATACTGAGAAATACTTACAGTATTTCCTAGATTCCTGAGGCCCACCAGACCCTGAGCATTCTTTGAGTTCTGCAAGAGAAAAACAGCAAAAGGGTTAGTGAGCTTTCTAAGTTAACCATTGAATCCAATGACACTTGATTTATACCAAAACATTTTTTAATACATTGAAATATGACTAAAGCACATGACTCACTCAGGCCACATCATTTGTTTGGCACAGATACTGACAGTGGAGTGAAAGTGCATGTTTAAGAAGAGAATTATGTCTAATAGAGACTTAAGAGTTATTTTCATTGCATGCATGCCACAAAAAAATCGAATTAATTAATGTTTCTGATTATATAAAATTACATAACAGCATGCTGTACTGTATAATGAGTCTATATGGTATTATTTTTCAGTATTATTATATAGTTTTGAGGACAAATGTGTGTGAGCTAACTAAAGCGTTCTCTCTGGGCTATTAAATGGCATGTTAGCAGATTTAGACAGAGACCCCTGCTGTTGAAGACTTGACACAAACAAATTATGCCCATCTGCCACACCACAACAAAAACGACTTTAAGTAATTTATTCAACGAGGGATGAATCATCACTGTTTGGTCAAATTTACTGTAATGATATATTCAAATCTTGCAGAGGAAACTGTTTCACCAATCAAAATTCAGACAGCTGGGAATGATGATGATGATAATGATTTCACATAAGATGATATTCTCAACATAAGTGCTCAGCCTGTTGACCATGACATAACGAGGAGCGCTCCAGAGAACACGAACAATGCGTCAAGCAGTTTCTCAGCATGAATCTCACGCATGAAACTGACACACTCCGAATCAGTGATATCAAGGCCTGGAATAGCAGTGCTCATTCTCATGTGCGTCATTCACTGATAACTATGTGATGTTACAATAGTGACTGCAATGCTCGGCAGAACTCATCAAAGTTCCAAATTTGCAAACGTCCCCTCGGACAGATGATTTTGAAGTCTGTGAGTGTTTGAGAAAGTGTGTGTGTGACTGAGATTCAAAATATGAAAGTTGCTGGTGTGTTAGGCGGCAGCCTTGAAATTAGAGTTGTTACAGCTAACTAAAACTAAATCTATTGAAAATCAATTAAAATAATATGAATATTAGAACAAAATTACTATAACGTAAATTGAACATAAAATAAAAAGCTAATTCAAAATAAATAAATGTTATAATAGTATATAAATAATACTAAAATATCATTCAAAAGTTAAAGATTGTGGTATTGGTATGCTCTACAGATGAGTCACTGACTGTACAGTGTGTGACAGAACTGTGTAACATGTTGAGTGTATCACATATTTTACACTGATGTGATGGTTGTTCACACTATGCAAAAATTCAATAACAATCCATCCATACACACATATGCAGAGTAGAGGCATAAATCTCACAAGCCGATTACAATTTTATAAAATAAGAGGTGAACTGCTATCACAAAAAAACATTATTTTAGTACTATTTGAGCCATGGACCACTACTAAACAGTTCCATGTTATTATGATGGTTTTATTGATACATCTTAAAGTATCTTTGAAATGGTAAATGCTATCATTTAAAGTAATCATTCAGTACCATGGTATATATCTAAGTATCTGAAAATATGAAAGATGGGACAAATTTGAGCTGCTATAAACTGTTTACAAATGTGTCTAAAATAATCAAGGACACAAATAAAGGATGTTGAATAGATACATAAATGCACGTTAAGGTATTAAAGAGCTGAGCCTCTGGATACCATCTGATACCATCACTGTCACAGTATGTTCGGACAGATCAGAATACACTTCAATTAAAAGTAATTAAGTGCACCAATCAAACACCTTCTATTAGCATCTCTGAGGAGGACAGACACATCAGGTTCAAACATGTTCAGCTGTGACTTATCCCAGGAGCATTTCTCTTATTTATATATTCATCCAAACATCTGATAAGCTTTTTCTTCCCCAAAGAAAATGAGAGAGGGGGAACAGATGGTCCAAGGCCTCACTCCGCTGCCGAGCCGGTCTCTGGCTTTCACACCCAGCCCTTAAACCAAACAGATTGGTATGACAACAGCCAGCACCCAGCAGCAGCCATGGGTACGGCAAGCGTAAGGAGCTCTGCCTCGAAAGCGATTGGGTAACAAGAGGGCAGCGGGATCTCACACTGGCTGTCTCTTCAAAGATCTTCGGAGGGCTGCAAGCTAATTGGCTGGCGCGAGTTAAAAGCGAGTGAGTAGGAACACTGTGTCCTGACCTTAGTTTCTGGAAGCCATGGCTGTCACCAACATAAGAACTCAATGTGCTCTGATGCCAAAAGGCTGGTCACATGCACATACTGAGACACATTTTATTCAAGCAGACTCCAGAGGCTCAGTTCTTTAATACCTTAACGTGCATTTATGTACCCATATTTCAGTGCATACTGTTAAAAAATAAAGGACAAATTTGGGACAAGTTGGGATACCTGGAAGGAACTGTCTCATCAGAAATGGGACATCTGGTTGCCGTAACTTAATCTCAACCAATGTTGATGATAAGCCACGCCATTTCATTGTTATCTTGAAAATGATTGACAATCTAGATGGGCAGGATAGAGATTTTGTGTAAGGTCACAGGCATGTGAAGAACAGGACCTTTGGCAATTCTTGGAATGTAATCGCTAGATACACAGATAGATAACACACATTCCTTCAGAAAGGCATGGCTTACTTAGGAGTCCATTTGTTCCTAAATGTTACATAATGTTATGTTCTGATTTTTCATTGTTGCATAACAAACACTGGTTACACTGGGTAATGTGGTTATCATCACTCCAATAATTTATGTCAAGCCCCTTGAACTGTGTTGTTGTAAAATACTGTAAAAATGGGTCTTAAAGTTTTCCCATCATTAAAAGCCACATAAACATTTTAAATGGATTCTTAATTTTATGGATTATTCGCTGCCATTAACTGTTTCTGTTTCTGTATTGCGGGTTTTCAAACTAGGGGTTTGAACATTTCTTGGGGTCCACTGAAAATTTCAGAGAAAATAAAGGTGACTTAATATTATTTACAGAATTTGATTTAGTTTTTCGCTCTTTCTAAGACTGGTCAGAAAACATTAGATTAATCATTATCAATCTATTTACAGCCATAGTTTTAACATTAACACATAAAAACAAGTATTTGTTTATACAGCCAAAGAGTATATTGTTTATACTATACATCTTTATATATAATATATATTTTGTAAAAACATTATTTATTTATTTATAAGTTTTCATCTCTCCTTCCTTGCAACATTCTTTCGAGTATGTATAAGGTTAAATCTGCTTTGAAACCGTATTTATTGTGTAAGAAATACAGTAGGCCTACTCTATTACTTAAAAATTGTAATAAAAAGTTAATATTTTCAAGATATTTTTATAATTTCTTTTTACACATACATAAAACTGTAACGCTGTCATAATTTAAAAGGGAAACAGCATATTAGGGGTTGTTGGCAGTGAAAGTTTTAATGACAAAATATCTATGTGCTGTATTTACAACATGACAACAACATTTGTTTAATGTAAGGAATCTAGCTCAGTATTGAGAGTCATCTTAGTATGAATGTGTAGCACAGCACAAAAAAACTTAAACATCCAAACAATTTGCCATTCTGAGCTAAATATAGCCCTTTGTAATCATCAACCTTAGAAAGATCAACAAACGTATTTACAGCACAAAGAGGTGGTGACAGTGCCTCTAGTTATGTAGCCTAACTAGGTCTACATCACAGATGACTCAATATCATCCGTTTTAATTTACACTCTAATTAACAGTGCTTAAGTGGTTTCCTGACTCTTCATGAATATGCGCGACGCAACAGCTGCGCAGGTAGATGGCGTCAGTCGCTCAACGCAAAGCCAGCGGCTTAAAACGCAACTAAACAATGACCGGAGTTACGTAACAGTCCTCGCTACGAACATTTACATTATTTATATATTATTGGCAGTGATACCGACGCATAGTACCGACGCGACAAACGTAAATCTTCCGTACGAAGCAGCATTATGAGTTTAAAAACACACAGAAGTAAAAGCTAACATGTAGGACGCGAGAACGCTGGTCACTTGGCAAGGTCAGAGATAGCAGCCAGCATCTGTAGGCTACTGTATGCGCTTCTGTTGGGACACATTGGGGAACAAGTCTGCAAGACTCAAATTCTTTAAATGCTACAAGAAATACGCATATTTCTAATGTGAGTGTGGCTTGTTCCCTAAAAGGTAAACCTTAAAAACACAGGGTGGATACTACCATACCAGATCTAATGGACTGAATTTAACGTAGACCTACATAAAAAAATTCAGAATTAAATAATTATTTCAGTTGTCTTCATATGAGCAAAGATGACATGCAACTGTTAATTGCTTATTGTTCAGGTACGTCTTATAATTTTCTCACATCTCCATCAATTATTAGAGTCAATAATGTTTCTCACCCAGCACATTTGGGAGGTCTCTGGTTTTTGTCTATTTAATATTTTGTACTTTTCTAAAAAATCTGTTGTCATGTTTATCTCCTCAGGGGTTTCTAAATTGCAAAACACCTATGTTGATATCCTTTACAACCATTTCCTAAAATAAACAATATCAAAAACAAATCAATATTGTGAGGACGTAGGCTAGCCTATTGAGCTTCCATGCTCACTTTTAAAGTTCACAAAGCCACAACAAACAACAATATGGCCTATAGCCTATATAGTGATTTTGATGGGTGATATGATATTCACAGTGATTTTACACTCAAAGATAATCGGCTACCAAACTATCTTACCATTTGAGGTAGGAAAAGGATGAGAAAACAGTTGACATGTTAAGTAAGTCTGCATCACTACGAAAGCAATGAGGCGTGAGTTTGTGAGTGTTAGTTGTACTTGTACTTTGAGTGTTCATTTTCATGCCCAAAATATTATCAAATACTTCCCAATCCTCTGATATAGTTTCAGCTCTATTTTAGTCGCAGTAGGCTATACATAAAGTCGAGATGATAACTTACGAGCTGCTAGTTAGGCTTACCTTTGCCTGGTTAAT